GAACATGATGATCTTTAAGGTCCAGTGCAGGCCATTCTATGATTCTATGATCTATGAGATGACCCTCTGTGAAAAGAGCAGCAAGTTGTTCTACAAATTAATGTTTTCACTCCTACTTGGGTGACAGTAGAGACTTTTAAAACAAAAATATTATTCTGACAAGCTAAATTACTGTCAAGGTCTCAGACTCTCATGACATATGAGGGGTTTTTTTCCTCTTGGAAACAGCACGTAGCAGTCTGTCTATGAAACAAAGTGCTGGAGCATGCTACCTTCAATGCTATATGGCTAATATTTTATTAAAAGTTATGCTGCAGATGAACACGGGCTATTTTTGTGTTCCTATCTCCCTACAAAGACTTGTAGACAGCAAGATACAGTGATTTTCCTTCTGTAGTAATTTAGGAAGTTATTTCACAAGGCAAACTAAAGCCATTTTAAGGTGAGCTTGTGGTACAGCTTACACAGAAGATTGTGAGATTTTTATATCTGACACTAACCACTCCTTCTGGAGATTATGAAATCAAGGGTTTTATAGATTCACTGAATGATAAACATCTGACTTAACTTGTGTTTACTTTTCCTTTTTTTTTCTTTTTTTTTTTAGTTCATCCTGCATCACAGAACACTCCTCCTGTTAAAATTACAATAGCATGGGATTCATATAAGCAACATTAGAAATCTACTGCTTACCACTCTCTTGTTACAAATAATGGAACTTGTATTTTGGTAATACCATAATCACTAATGCTAACCCATTATTTTTTTTCAATTACTGAGGATATAAAACAAAGATTAGGTCATCCCTTGACAAGTAAAAAGATAAAAGAACAAAGGAAAAAATACTTTGTGAAAGAACATTTCTGTCTGTTTCTGAAGAAAATAACAGCTCAAACACATACTGAAAGTAAACGAACTTTTTTTTCCTTAAAAACTCCCACCCTGATACTTACGTAACAAACATGTAAACAACTCTTTTCACTGAGTTTATTTTAACAGCTACAGATATTTTTTTAGCAGGTATATTTGCCCATACACATATATATTTATTTATATATTTAGCTAGTTAAAGATATTCTAGTATATTACCCTACTTAATAATTGATGGGTTGACTCCCACAAAGCCACTCCTTCACTCCTCTCTGCAACTGGACAGGGGAGAAAAAAGTATAATGAAAAGCTCATGAGCTGAGATAAAGACAGGGAGAGATCACTCCCTGAATACTGTCACAGACAAAACAGACTCAGCTTGGGGACATTAATTGAATTTATTACTAACAAAATCAGAGCATGATAATGAAAAGTAAAATAAATCTTAAAAACACCTTTCACCCACCCCTTCCTCCTTCCTGGGCTCTACCTCCTCCCTGCAGCAGCTCAGGGAGACGGGGAGTGGAGGTTACAGTCAGTTCATCACACAATGTTCCTGCCACTGCTAGGGGAGAGTCGTCCTTCCCCTTCTCCAGCCTGGGGTCCCTTCCATGGGAGACAGTCCTCCACAAACTTCTCCAGTGTCAGTCCTTCTCATGGGCTAAAGTTCTTCATTAACTGCTCCAGAGTGGATCCCTTTCCACTGGGTGTAGTCCTAGGCTGCTCTAATGTGGGTCCCCCACAGGATCATAAGTCCTACCAGCAAATGTGCTCCAGTGTGGGCTCCTCTCTCCATAGGTCTGCAGATCCCTCCAAGATCTGCTCCAGCACATGCTTCCGATGGGGTCACAGCCTTCCTTTGGGCATCCACTTGCTCTGGTGTGGATCTCCTCCCCAGCCTGCAGGTGGATCTCTGCACCCCCATGGCTCCCAATGTGCTGCAGGGGCACAGCTGCCTCACCACAATCTGCACCACAGGCCGCAGGGGAATCTCTGCTTTGGCACCTGGAGCGCCTCCTTCATCTCCTTCTTCACCAGCCTTCGTGTTTGCATAGTTGTTCCTGTCACATATTCTCATTCCTCTCTTCTCTGGGTACAATTACATCTGGGCAACAACTTTTTTTCCTTCTAAAATGTGTTATCACTGAGGTGTTACTACCATCTCTGATGGGCTTAGCCTTGGCCAGTGGCAGGCCTGTCTTGGATCCATCTGGCATTGGCTCTGTTGGACATGAGGGAAGCTTCTGGCAGCTTCTCAGGGAAGCCACCCCTGTAGTCCCCTCGTCACTACCAAAACTTGGTCACAAAACCCCTACATAAATAAACGTGTATTTGTATGTATTTGTGTATATTTCTATGTTTTCATTCTTTGGACAAACACTTTGGAGAATGCAAGAGAAATGGCTATTTTTATATGAAAAATCCCTTCTGATGGCATTAATATCATAAAACAGAAAAACAGATCTTTTTATCAAGAGGAATACAACATAGCAAACAGTATGCTGATGCCCAAGATGAATGATAATACAATTATACAATAATTATACAGTTATACAATTACCCATCCTACTAAGCTACTCTGCAGTGTGACACTGAAGTGTGTTAAATACTGTGATGAGTGCTCTAGCAGGTTAAAACCTATGCTCTTCCTCCCTGTGCTCTTCAGAAAAAGACAAAACTAATAATTTTACAAACTGAGTTGAACCTTGCAAATCTTAACTCTGTAAATGAATGTGACATAGGTCTGATACGGCTGGGGTTGGAAAGAAGGGTATTAAAGACCATCAAAATGGCACGAAGACCAGCAAATAACTGCTCAAGCCTATGCCTAACCAGGAGATTTTAAATGTATGCAGACGATGCTGTTTGTGAGAACCAGAATAGAAACAATGTCACATCAGAATAGAAACTTTGGCACAGAAGTTTCTCGTACAGGGATGCTCACAAGGGCAATAAAGGGCATCTGTGTTTTGCATATGTGTTAGAAACTCTCTGTCGATTGCACTGTATTCTTACAGCACCACAAACTACCTGCTGCTTTCTGCAGGAAAGACCTCCCTACTTGTCTAATACACAGTGGATATCTGACATTTTTTCAGTGACCACTAGACTCTTGAACTGTCTTGCCAGAGAAGTAACTACTCTATAAAAGGACCAAAAAAAATTAGAATGAACTGTAAATGAACTATAGAAAAAAAATCTCGTATCTTGGAAGTTTGCAGTACTAAACTGCCTACTATTTAAGCCTCAATATTTTAAAAGCTAAAACAAAAGAATATTTCCTGACTACTAAACGTATTATAAGCTAGATCTACCCTTGTCTTACAGACTGGGTGCCATGTATTTCTGTGTCCAAACCTGTCATATATTTTTCCCATAAAGTTTTCTTTTATACATTTTTCCCCAGCCTGCTCACAGTAATCACCTTCCCAGTGGTCAAACGACATACTAACTTGTATGTCTTATACTTAAATATGACTTATTTAAATGACATACAGGTCATTTAGCAGAGCATTATTGCAAATATAACATATGGCCACATGGTAACATTTTTGACTAATCATGAGAATTGGATTTCAGTCTTCATTCCATTTCATTGTGTGAATGTAACCTATACAATACACCACCACTAAATAATTAATACAAAAACCAATCTGGGCAATATAGTGTGGTTTACTGTGCATTAAAATGCTCACTACTCAGAGTTTGGTGGGGTTTTCTATCTTTATAGCAATCAAGAGTGACCACGCACCTTTTTCTAGGTGTAAGATGACCATGACCTTTTGCTTTGGTTAAAAAATAACTTCATTAACTTGGAATTATTAACTTGGAATTATTTTCTTTTTAAGTACCAAACCTTTTGAACAGATTTTTGGGGGTGCTGCAATTTACAAGAACAACTCAAATTGGGAAACTGATTTTGTAAAAACTGGTAAGTGAAGCAGGGAAAGTGAGCTACAAAACATGAGTAGCATGTACTGAGTTCACTGGGAGATGATAGGAGTACCCCTTTCTCTATTAGTATCTGTCATCGTGACACTGTAATAACAGACAAGAATTGTTGGTAATAACCAAGGACAGTTGGTAATAACATACCAGAAGAAAGAATAAGATGTGGTTGAAAAAGGTGGCCGTGTGGAGTTAGGGCAGCACTTTTCTGGGACAAATCTCGTCGTTCTAGATCCTGCAGACAAGCACAAGACAGCACAGCACAGAGACCAAGAACTGGCCATGGACTGTAGCGTGGGAACAAGATGACACAGGACAGAAGCCTCCGACTCATTTCCAGGAAGGTCTGAAAATGGACTGTGCATGATAAACTAATTTGGTTAGAAAGTGGGAAACTTATTTCAAGGGGGGCAAAACCTATCTGTGAAAAGGTACCCCCAACAAGGCCAGGAAGCATCCCCAGGACCCTGGACATACCATCATCTGGGCCAACACTGAAACCAGGTTTTATTCCTCTTTTCTCTTTTTGTTTTCTTTCTTTTTATTTCCTTTTCTCTTTCTTTTCATTTCTTTTCTCTTTTTTCTTTCCTTTCCCTTTCCTTTCCTTTCCTTTCCTGAAATTTCCTTTCCTGAAATTTCCTTTCCTTTCCTTTCCTGAAATTTCCTTTCCTTTCCTGAAATTTCCTTTCCTTTCCTTTTTCCTTTTCTCGTTTCGTTTCGTTTCTTTTCTTTTCCCTTTCCTTTTCTTTGCCCTGTCTTTTTTCTTCTCTCTCTCTCTCCCTTTTCACCTTACCTCTTTATCCAAAACCAAATGTAATGTGCTTATACAGTAAGTCAGGGACCAACATACCAATTTTCATGCCAAATGTGTATTGTTCTAAAAAAACTTCGAGGTTTTGTGGACCCCCAAACTTTCGTCGTTCCTTCCAACCACAGGCATTTACCAGTCCTAGGTTCATAAAGTAAATTAGCAGCTCTTTCTGTCTCAAGAGGACACGTCTAAGTCCTATGAGGAGCGGTTGAGGGAGCTGGGGGTGTTAATCCTGGAGAAAAGGAGGCTCAGGGAAGACCTTTTCCCTCTCACAAATACCCGGAAGGCGGTTTCAGTGAGCAGGGGGCCGGTCGAGTCCATCAGGGGCCGGGGGAGAGGAAGGGGGAGGTTAGCGCCCCCTGCAGGGCCGGCAGTGGTACGCTCCGCCGGCGGGGCCGTGTTCCCGCCTTCGGGGGAGCGCGCGGGTTCCCTCAGGTGCCTGTGAGGCCACGGGGGATTGTGGGGATCCGGAAAACGATGGGAATGTTTGAAACGCCTCTTATTGAATAGTAACTATATTTAGTTGAGATATGAATTTTAAAAATAATATCTACTTTAATATATATATAAAAATATATATATTAAAATATAGGTTTCCCTGCCATACGAAGCAAAAAAAGAGAAACTTTAAATTTCAAAAATGGGATAACCAGCTTGTTTAAAAAGGATACTGAAAAAGCATGGGTGGCAAGAAGTTAAAGAGAGATTAAAAGAAGGTGTCAGTTTTATAGCAGTCAAAACTACAATTTAAATCTTTAGTTTTCCCCCAATGGCATAAATATCATAGTTCAAAACAGGGGTGGGAATCTGAACAAAAATGCATTTGGAAGACATAACGTGTATCATAGTAATATGCACAAAAATAACAGTGATGAATATTCCTGCTGGAAAAATACAGCATTAATAATAAAACATTATTTTTAATTTACTGTTTCAATTCAGCAGGAGTTTTGTTCCCAGTGGCACTGTTGCCTAATGCTGGCAAGTGCTGAACACATCCTGTCTTCTGAGAAAACAAATGATGCCATAGAATAAGGAAACACGCAAACAAAAAGCAGGACACAACATGGCAGCTCCCTGAACTCCCTTCCTTAGTCAATATTAGGAGGGTAGAGCACAGATTTCAGAGTATAAAAAAAGCAAATGCTGATCGACAAATGCAAGATACTGCCCATGATAAGGATTGGAAAGGTCAGGGCTTGACATTCATAGAGTACATTTAGATTATCAGCTAATGGAATACTAAGATGTGTAATTGTTTTTAAAAATTGAAAGTCCTGAATATATATTTAAAACTCTATTTTAACAAATCGTTGCATTGTAGTAAGTTAGAAGTTCATCAAGATTGCTAACTTTGTAAAAAAAAAAGCAAAAAACCCCAACCCAAATGACAAAACCCCACTAATGTAACTTAGAAGCATTAATTCTTTAATGTTACCTGTATTCTGAAAAATTGTTGATTTAAAAAGAAAGCTTTACTAGTTTTAGTCTCACTAATTTTAATCTCACTGAGGAAACAGTGGGTACAAGAAAAAAACCAGAGTATGAAACACACAGAACGAGTATCTTACTCCTTTGGTAAAGAGTTACATACACATAAAGGCTTGTAAATATTGAATGACCGAGAAATTAATTCAGTTATGTTATTTTTGTTCCTGTTTAGTGTTGTGCATTTACCTATCCCAACCTGACTCTGCTGCCAGTATTTTTGTCTGGAAACCCGTTCAGTTTCTGGATAATGAACACATTCTATCTTTTGTTTCATCTCTCTTATTGTAATTTTTTGTTATTTATAAAAAGGCTATTCACACATTATCACACAGAAGTGATGACTTTGTTTGGACCATATGGTTTATCTGGTGTTGGAATTTTTGTCTCATGGAGCCTGATGTTCAGAGATAGTTTAAATATTTTTAGAAGCAACCATTTTGTGTATTTCTGATCCATCTTGTGAATGTATGTTGAAGATTCTCTAAGTAGAATGTATAAAAATAGGAATTGTATATAATAATCTGAAATTATATGGGTGTTTTTCAAAATACCCTTTTTTTTATTCTACAATAAGGTTTATGTGCTGCAATGTCTATCACGGATCTTAACACATATTGTTTATAAGAAAATATGTAAGTAAACCTGAGTATTTAAGTATTAAAACATCTACACAGGTAAAAGGTCTTGCTGCTGCATCAATATGTGCGTGGTGCATCATTGTGTCTATGAAAGTGTATTCACGTTAATTTTTTAGTTGCAGCAAAAGTTCCAAATTCAACTATATCATCTAACAGTTTGATAGATTTTTACTTGGGTTTTCTGACATTCATCGTACTTCCTGGAAATGCAAGATCTTAGGTTGGCTGAAGTTTAGCTTCACATGCAAAAGTAGTTTTAACTTTAAAAAAGGAGTGTACTTTGTTCTGCTTACAATTGTGCTTAAGAATTTACATAGTTTGAATGAGAAATATATGAATTCATAGAGATATTTTTTATATATATATTAATCATTAGATTATATGGTTCAGAAAAAAATGAATCACAGTGATGAAGAAACTATGAAAAAAAACAGTGTGGTGAACCTTGATAAACTTTTAGATGACTTCTCAGAGATAGAAAAGGTAAGTGAAGAAGGTAAAAAATATTGAAACTGCTATCTATAATTATTTTGTGACATTTTTGAGAGCTTTTCAAGTGAAAATTTCTTTTAAGTGGTATCAGCTTATTGTTATGCCTTATAATACCAATTATATCTTGGCGTCATAGAAGTGAATTCTGTGAAGCCACTTTGAGACGAAAACAGTATATAACTAATTACGTAAGTCAGCATTCTTAGTTCTGCAGGTAAACTTGCAATAGCACAGGCTCTTAAGTCTAGCATTGTTCTTCTCTTTAAAGGAATTTCCTGAATTGTGAGAAATAATACAGGTCTGTGACTGCAGTGTTGTGAAATTCCTAAATTAATTTAAAACTCAAGATTTAAAACTTAAAACATATTAATATAATGTTAGTATTTTTCCAATTTTCTAGAAAATATCAGAAATTAATGAAGCAAATAACCTACTGATTCATCAGCTGGAAAAATGTAACAGGTTGCTAACATTAAGCCAATCAAAGGAGGAATCAGTAAAAGAAGGTAAGTTATTTTTTTATTAAGGTATGATTTTTGCATATATTCAGGAAGTTCTGTGAGATATTTCCACTATTTTCAGTCATATAAAATAAAAAATAAAATAGCAAGGCTCTAAGATACTGTGTGAAAAGCAGCAATGACTAATCTTAGGTCATGTAATTAAATCCCTCTCATAGTAACAGTTTGCATTAACATTATGAGAATTCCAACTGTTCAATGAAAATTAATAAAATGGTATTTACCATTTACAGGTGGGAATTATAAATCTATAATCGTAATTAAAATGTTGCCAAATAAAGGAGGAACTAAAGAGAAAATTATAAAATTAAGATTTTTTTGTTTTATTCTAGAACTGTATGTTTTCAGATGAGTATTTGAAATAAGACATGATATCTAGTACTTAGCACAGATTTGTGGTTGTTTATTTTTCTGTAGCTGGTAGAGTTGCTGAAAGGTGCACCTTTTTGTAGGACTTTCATCTCTGGGACATCAACTTGCTAAAAGTTAGGAAACAGGATTGGAATAAACTCAGTTTCATGCTGGAATGAGATTGCCAGTTGGTTTAACTTAAATCTTCACTGGGACTTTGATAATTTAGCATAATCAGAAATTGAGTATTGAAATTGAGAAATTAAGCTGTTGACTAAGAGAGTGAAGTTTGCTAATCATACTAATCTATTCAGATATACCAAAAAACTCATGATACGGGATGACAGGTGATACAAAGGAGAGGTGAAAACCAGTAGCAGTTCATATGGGAGGCATTTCATGTACATAGAGGTTGGACTTAGTTGGCAGCTTCTCAGGAAAGAGATCTTGATGTCTCCTCTGAACAGTTCTCTAAAAATATCAGTGCTCAAAGAAGCAAACATCGTGATAACCATGATTATAGAAGAAAAAGAGAAACGAGCATCATGCCCCTGTAAGGTCTGTGATTTTCATGTAGCTTTCTGGTCCACACATATGAAAACAAACATACCAGAACTAGAAAAGGTAACAGAGAAGGTGGTAAGGTTTTCTGTTGTGAGGGAGGAGGACTCAGGGAATCAGGAACCAATCACGTAACGAGGACCATGGATGTAGGGACTTAACCATCCACTGTACCCATGCAGGGCTGGCCCAGCAAGGACTGCCATGGTCAGACAAAAGTGCACATTACCAAACAAGTATGTAGTGATGGGAGTGACTCAGGAGGCTGAGTCAGAATGGAGCTCACAATTGGTAACAAAGGCCAGACATGGTCTAGGTATCACCACCAGGTCTCCAGTGATGAGGCAGGTCTGATATCAAGCCAGAAAGTCACTCCTTAGATCATGACCAGGGTCTAGCATGTGGCTGCAACACAGCTGCACCATAGGCCCAGGGCAAAAACCTCAGCTTAAAAGCAGCTCCCAAGGGAAGGAGAGGCAGCCATTTCTGAATCAACTTCCAGCAAGGTCACCAGCTATAGTCTTTCTAAGATGGTCTTATGCGCAGCCAGGCACCCAGAAGGTTCGTTCACAATTTTGGAACATCTGATGGAAGACTTAACTTGACTGGAAACTTTTTAGCCTAAAGAGAAAGAATAGAGCTGATACGACTCATATCTGCAACATTGTGAATGACACAGAGAAAGTGACTAACATTCACTGTCCAATGTAATAAGAAAACTAGATGGAAATAAAACTTGATTGATTTAAAGCTTACAACAGGAGGAACTTTTCCATACATTACAAAATGAAGTTAAATCAATTCCACAAAAACCTGTGGATAACGGAATTATAGATTAGTCCAATAAGATTAGGAAAAAATCATGGAAAAAAACTTAAAAAAATTTGATAAACATGAAGACAGTATCTCTTACTGAGGTCTTCCTTACTTCTGTGTTTTGGAAGTTGAGAGGATGTATCGAGTGTAGTGTTTATCCAGCTTTTTTTCCCCTTTCCTGAAGTATTTTGTACTGGGTATTGTGAAGTGGAATAGTGAACTGGATGAACTTTGGTTTGAGTCAGAGACACTTGTTTCTTTATTAAGCAGAAAAGACAGTGCAGGACAGTCACTCAGAAACAGAACAAGAGGCTTCATTATTGATGAAACCAGAGAAGAGTGCGCTTATATAAAATAGATTGTAAACGGGGAAAGGAAAAGGTGGCCAAAAAGAAGAAATTATTCTTTCTGTAAAACCTATGGAATAAAACGTAGCAGAGAAAGTGAAAGAGACAACTTGGGAAATCAGAGCAGCTGCGTTGACTGCAACAAGGAAGTAGAATGTACTGAAAACAGATAAAAGTCAGAAGAGAGATTTGAGCTTTTTAAACAGCAGTGCCTCACTATGATAAGAGAGAAATTATTTTATGAGATAGTTATGCTGATACAACTGAAGAGAACAGCCTGTGGAGCTTCTTTTGAAACACACCGTGGAAAAAAAATTTGTGGGTGCCAGAAGTCCAAGTAAAAATAGCAGAGCAATCAGCCTGAAATATGAACCAGTTTTAGCAGCAGGGATAGTCAGGAAAAAATAAATTTCAATAAAACTGTATTCATGAAAGTTATATGGATATAAACAGGAGACAGAATTGTTGGAAGACAAGGATTCTGGTCAATGAGTAAGAGACATTGCAGAGATATTAGTAGCAGTATCAAAAAAAAAAAAAGTGAGAAGCACGAACTTGGAAAAATGTAGGATATCCGGGAGGTGATTCTGAAAGTTACTTGATGGTAAGGAAGTAAAATACAAATAAGATACCAAAGGGGTAGAATGTATTTAGAAATTAAAACAGTTAACATGATTGTTCTATTAGATTAAGCTCAGAGATGTTGTGGAGTCTCCCTCAGTGGAGATATTCAGGAATTGTCCAGACACAATCCTGTGCCATGTGCTCTGAGATGACCCTGCTTGAGCATAGAGGTTGGACTAGATGACTCACTTTGGTCCTTTCCAACCTGACCCATTCTGTGATTCTATGCTTTGCACCTTTATTAAATTCACCTGCCATGTTGACCCTTCAAAAGGGGTGATGCCATATGTTGTATTCAGAATCAGAGTACTAAAAGTTTCACATCTAAAGTTCAATTCTTCATAAAAAACTTTTGGAAGTTCAAAACACTGTGGGTTAAAAAAAAAAACCCTCTTTAATATTGATGAGGTTATAGAGGGATCCTGTGCAGAACTAGAGAAGATGCGAGAGACCAAATACAGCATTGATACTTTCATTCTTGCTCTGGCAACAGTTATCCTAATACACTGTAGTTGTGAGAATGGCTTTTATACAATGATATTGCCAATCACGGCTTGGAAAAAGGATTTCTCCTAGACTTATGTCCCAAACTGTTTTCCAGAACCAACTCAGCCAGTTCCTGAAAGTTTCTTTTTAAGAGTTGGCCCAAAGGCAACAGAAATTGCTTACAGCAGAGGAGCAGAAAGAAAGAGTGCTGTGGAAGGAAAGACTGTGGTTCCACCTATCCTGAAGGGTTTGCGACTACTAGTGGTAGTGAGGTGGAGGAGGTGGAATTTTATCCTGGCTTGAAGAACTCTGTTAGTATGTGAAACAGAAAAATAGTAGCATTTCATATCCCAAGAAATCTCCAACAAGTGAGAATCTGAGAGCTCCTTGATATCCTTGAGTGCAAAAAGTCTCTCTGTAGAACTATTTAAGGCAAAAGAAGATTGGGAATTCTGAAGGAAAAGCAAAGGAAAAAAGAAAACTTCTAAAACTCTAGAGAGAAGGTGGTGAAACACTTATACCCAAGATAAAGTGGGAAAAGATAAGCAGCTTGGCAAGTATACACGTTCTGAAAGGTCATAAATTAACTTTATTTTCTCTTCATATGTTCTTTGCTGCACCAAGTTGAGATTCAGAATGACAGTTTTTGTTTTATGTAAATCATTGCAGATCCACTTAAGGCAGATGCAAGTCTGGCATCCTTGTTCTCTGCTCCTCAACCTTCACTATGGTGACTAAATTGACTCTTGTGGTACTACAGTTCTGAACTATGTTCTACTGTAATTTTTTAAAAGGAAGCAATCACATTATTATCTATGAAACACATAAGGTGGCTCTATTTAGCATCTTCAGAGTTGCCTATTTGTTTACTTAGTGTTTCTAAGGTGTTAAAAGAAAAAGTGGTTGATGTAATTGCCCTGTAAAAAATCAGAAGTGCAGATGGATGAAACTGCAATAAAGTAGTCATTAAGCAGAGAAAATGAGCATTAGGCTGTGTGGTCTTTCTGCATGTAGGGAATAGTCTTTACAGGGAAGAAACTACACAGAATCCATAACAGATATGCCAGAGATCACAAAGCTGCAATCACTTAGCAAAATTTTGCTTTTTCTCCATAATGTAGACAAGCAAAATTTGTGGGTTGCCAGTAATTTCTTCCAATCACAACTGCAATTACATATGGGATCTGCCAAGATATGTTCTTTAAAGATAAGAAAGATATTCTTGTGAGCAGATATTCTTGGGACTGAACAGAAGAGTGGCTTGCACTTGAATAGTTGTTATTCTTTTGAAGGCTAGATGCTGCTCTAGTGTCTTTCCATTTTTGCATGAATTACAAGCATTTGAATTTGTTTCCATACATTTTCAAACGGGAGGAAATCTGTAGTAGAGCTAGTTGGTACAAATGGGCATGCTAAGCTAGTGCTTCCAACTTGGAATAGGATTTTTCCACAGATGGTTTTGATCCAGTACACGAAGTGACGGCTGGCAGTTTCTGTGCTGCTCGTGCTCCCTCTACTGGTTTTTTTGGAAGCACGTAACGGGAGAAGACATCTGGCTGAAGTATTCGGCTGCATGAAAAGCAGACTTGATGGAAGAATAGGCTAGCAGTCAAAAAGATTGAGTGGAAAACTGAATCTCTTAGATGAGATCTTGCTTCGTCTTCCTGGCTCCATTATTTGTAACGTGGTCTTTAATTATATGATACACAGTTTTCAACGGAGCTTCAGTCTGATGAGACGTGTAACTGTTATTTATCCTACTTTTATCTGTTGTGGAAGTTAAAACCTACTTACGAAATGCAGCAGCACTCTGGAAATAGAGAATTTTAAAGAGTAAACAAATTCAGTTTTAGTGTCTCCACTTTTCCCAGTTTTTGACTGTTTTGCGACTTTACTGGTAAGTTTACAAGGAACATATAAGGGATAGAAGTAGTATTTAATGGAACCAAATGGTATATTATAGGAAGTACACATGGTGTTCAAATATCTAAAATATAGCTTAAAAAATAAAATCATGAAACACAAATATGCAAGCTGATAACAGGTTGCATGTGTATAGATACAAATGCACATAACTATTTTGTATTAATTGAGATAACAGGCATATAGTAGCGAATCACTCAGAGTTTACGTTGAGCCATAAGATGAATGTTAATATGCACTAAAAAGTGGGTGAGAGACTGCAATGAGTGGATATGGTTGATCTTCTTTAAAAAAAACTTGACAAAAATGCTGTTGGGAAAGTAAGCCACGGTTTCATTAAATACACAAATTGCTGGAAGATTGATATGGAAAACTTTTATTATTAATCAGAAAACAATAATATCCTTGTTTTCTGGCTAGAAACAAAAATTTAATAGTTTTATGAAATTGTTTGTATAGCTTCATAAAATTGGTTTTAATCCATCATCAAACTAAAAACTAAAATTAAGCAGTAACTATGTAATAATAATCTGTGTTATTTCTATAGTCAGTAAGAAAACTTAGAATAATGTTTAATCAAAATTATTATCAAATATTTGACAGAAGTTTATAAACAAAACATAAACTTCCTTGTGAAGAAATTATTTTTTAAAATCTGCATTTTTTATTTCTTTTAGAATGCACTACTCTACAGAATGTGATAAGTGGTCTAACACAAACCATTGAAAACCAGTGTAATGTCAAAGGTAAAGGCAAATATGTTCTTATATATGCTGTACTGTAATTTCAAATGAGCAGACATTTAATGTTTTTGTTTATATTTACTGGTTTTTGCAGACAGAGAAACTCACTGCCAGACAAACAGAAAGTTAAAAAATATATCTCAGATCAATCTTGTGCAGTAATAAATGTTATTGCTATTATTCTACTTAGAATCCACATGTAAAAAAGTTCTGCTTCAGTGACGTTATTTTAATCAATACTTGGGCTTTATATTTATTTCAGTATAGCACAGGCAATTTTACAAAAGGTTAGAAAGCATCATTCAGCCTTTCATCTGTAGACTATTAAAGCATTTATGTGTAGGTTTTATCACTTTGTTAAACTGAAGAGTCTTAATCTGTAGTATAATGTTCTTGAAGTTTTGCTGTTATCCATAAATACTTGAAAATTACTAATTTTTATTTGAAAATAAAATACATAAATATTTGCTGTATCTTTATACTACTGTTCTGCTGTAGTTAACTTTATAACAGTTACGTGTTCAAGGCATATTAGCATAAATATTAATAAACCTCTAAAACTGGAAGTATATTGCTGCTTTTAATACTCAGACTGATATTAATTTTTAAAAAAGCATCTATTTTTCCTAAATTCTGTTTTTGAGATACTACTTTCTAGTTTTTAGGAAACAAGTACTTAAAGACTTGCATCTTCCAATTTGAAACTGTTGTAGGCATGATAACAATCTTTTATTTTCTGAGTCAAAGAACTTTGCATTTAGATTTTCTTGAATGCATCATTTACCAGGAGGCTAAAGACATTTCCAAGTATAGTACCAGGCAAATATTATTATTAAACTATGATTGTTAAAAAATGTAGAATATAATTCTGTAAATGATAAATATAATGCGTATAAAAAAGTTTCCTAAAGTTCAGCCAAGTAAAAAAATGCAAGTAATTTCCTTATTCTGCTTTCATGCTAATGATATTGTCAAAATGTATTTTTTAGTATGTCATCTTGGTTTTTATTTATGTAGATGAAAATGATAGACTGAAGGATACCATTCACACCTTGGAAGATAAATTAAAGGCTTGTGAAGAGGTAAGTCACAAATGATCATTCTTTAGGTAGAGGAGTATTTTATCTCTATTGTAGCAGTTCATATATCTTTATATTCTTAGGTTTGCTGTTGACACCTTTATTGTTGCTCTTCTCTTAATGTTTATCACGTGTAAAAAGAGAAGCGTTGGTCTCATGACAGCACCCATATGAGAAGGTGTTAAAAGAACTGAGAGATTAAAACCATATAGCTGCTGAGAACTGTCTCATTTGAGTTTTTTAGCTCTATTTAGCTTTAAATTCAGCTTTAAATTCTGATCTGTTGCATTAAAATAATTTTTTGTGTGGAAATAAGGTTTTTATATTCAAGATACTTGGTTGTGCTGCCAGAGAATCAAGAATGGTCTGAATTTTGTCTAGTTTCTTTGGAAATAAATACTACAAAGATAATAGGTCTCTACCTCTTATCTATGTCTCATAATAAATTCCATTTATGATCCCTCTACTTTTTATCTATGGCACTCATTTTTGCAAAGGAGGTAAAAACAGCAGGGCTAGTCATAAGTTGTGTTAGTTCTCTGTGCACAAAATGCAGATCTGTTACTTGTATAGGATTAGGAATCTCAATGCTGATTTACTTTGCCTGTGTTTGTACTATGAGTTAAAATTAAATATTTATACCAATATTTATACAATATGTATACTCAGACTCTGAATATCAGATGCCACCAGCATCGCTACTGCTGCCAGTATGAAGTTGTGGAATCCTTGGTATAAGCAATACTAACAAATTTCATACTTAAAATACAACTTTTTAATGCAATCTTAGAGTCAAAGATCCACAAAAGTAAAACTGTAGTGCCTGAACTAACTGCACTGTGTCAGATTCCAGACTGGGGAAAGGAATATTACCTCTCCATTTACCTGTTCTCTTAAGAAGTACAAGTTTATGTTAGCTGATAGCTGCAATACAATGAAATCTGCTACATTTTTCATCTGTGGACTTCAGCCACACCGTGTAAGAAGTAATTTGGCATGTTGAATTTACAAAATTGAGGATCAAACAAGTACTGAATTATAGAGCATATATTATAGAGTATATAATTTTTGTCTGATTGTTGTGCTTTGCAGAACCTGCAAAGCTTTTATAAAACATTTTACATTCACAGGAATATAAAGATCAGATTGAGAAACTCATGACAGAAATTAAAAACAAAGAGGAAGACCACAAATTAGAAATAACACAGTTGAATTGCAATATAAGGAAAAAATGTAAGTTCTCTGAAGACTGAATGCTATTGCATGGGGTAAAACATGTATAACCTGCAGGAGCTACATTTCCTCTAAAAGTTCGACTTTTTAGTGGAAACATATGAACACTAGAAGTGGACAGTGTTTATCTGAATTTTATCTTTGCTAAAGAGTAGACAGTGACAATAAGGCAATGGTACAGCAACACAGGATGAGCAGAAATTCCCAAACAGTTAGAACAAATGCTGGGAACTTGGACCTAAAATTCCAAAGGACTGAAATTTTGGGTAAAGTGTAGACTGGAAACTTGCTTTGAACTGTAAGCTAGACTGCTGTTAGAGTGTTCTATCTGTGTTCAGGAGAGTAGGACATTATTTTAACAAATAAATAATACTGCAATGAGAAAAAGCTGATTCCAATATTAATTTTTAGAGGCATAACCTTGAAGAGTAGGATTTTTGGTCATCCACATAGCTGAAAACAACTAGAAAAGTTTTTGAAAAACATGATGATTTTTTTAAGAGACACCATCTTACTGGGATGGGACAGGATGGTTTTCAATCAGTTTTGATATGGTTTTTGCTTGAATGAAGATGTTTTCCAATGAAACGCTCACCTGATACTCAAGAAAGTTTTAATATTTAGGAAATTATGTTATTTTTCCATCAAAGAATCTTCGATAATCATAATATTTGGTGTTACTTTGTTGCTAGTTGAAGTAAAAGAAATGGAGTATAGAGAAGAGAGAGAGAAAAAAGAACTGGAAATACTAGAGCTAACTAGACAGCTGAAAATTCAAAATGAAGAGAAGCAAAATGAAATAATTAAACTGCAGATAGAGGTATGCATTACAAGGCTGACTTAAAGATGAATTAGGCATTGGGTAAAATTCAGAGACTCTAGTGAAAAACATTAATTAGTACTTAACGACATAATATGATGGAATCGAGAAAACTTAAAAAATTATTGTCTTTACAAAGATCAGTGGCATAAGTTCCCTTCCTCAATGGAAACTGACTCACTTCTGTTCAGGAATCAAGTTCTACCTACTGTATAGGGAGACTGAAGTTTGCTCTGTTCTTGTTTTAAATTAAACTACTTTGAAACTTTTCTAGGCTTTTGAGGCATAAAAAAAATTAAACAACATTTTCTGCTTAACTTTCTTGTTTTTAATTTCTAAATGATGGGAATATATATTACAATTTATATTACAATTTACTTTTGTAATAAAATTCCAATAAAAAATTAGAATCCTGCAGAGATTTAAGTCAAAGCATTCAACACGTATTTCATTGCTCAAGTTTTAAACCACTCTCAGTACAGAAATAATTAAGGAAATACTTCAAATCTTTCACATATCAAAAAAAGAAATAAAGTCTGGAAGTGTTCATGCTGAGTTACTCTTGGAACATGAGGGAAGGATGATGGTTTCAGAGGCTTTTAGCATCCTCTCCATTTTCCCCTCCTGTAGACATGTGGCTCAGGAGCCTTCAATTTATTATTTTTTTCAGTAATGTTTTTTACATCTACATTGTTTTGATCATATTTGTACTACATACCATTTGAAATATTTTGAGGCTTTTTTAAAAAGAAACATAACATGTAATGGTGTGCTTTCTTTTAAATAAACCTACTTAGCTTCATTTCCCTAGGATTAATTAGTAGATAAGCCTGTTATTACTAGTCTCAGGTAAAAAATGCAACTAAAAAAAAAGTGAAAATTATATTTGAATTATTTACTATACCTTTTTTTCATGATGGTTCTTATTGTTTTATCTTTGCCTGATTCTTTCAGTTCAATGCTAAATTAGCAAGAGCTCAGGATAAAACCACCAAGTCATTTTCAGATGCTTCTGTCTTGCCACAAAGTATCTATCGAAGGGTATGTGCTTTAATAGTCCATGGTCAACAGGGGCTGTACTGGACAGACTTTTAAGATCACCAAGTCCAACTGTCATGTCTTTTTGCATATTGATACCACTGGGGTTCAACAACAAAAGACCACATGTGAGGTGGTTTTCTAACCACCAGAATGACTAACCTGGAAACTTAAGTTAGATGACATAAATGACACTGATATAAACTGTGTATGGGCATTGTTTTTTTTTGTAGGCTTGAGACTTTGGGATGTCACAAAAATAGGATTCTGAGGAAGTAATCTTGGTCATTTTGTGATACAAACTAATGAGGAAAAATATTCTTATTAGAAAATTTCTCATTTGCAATAGCAAATTGTATTGTTATATAACTCTGTGTGATGTTTAACAATGAAGCCTTTCTTGCATTTTTACAGAAGCTGCAGCATCTCCAGGAGGAGAAAAACAAGGAAATTGAATTTCTCCGAAACACCATAAGAGACTTAGAACAACGTCTTCATAAAGGTCAAGACTTGCACTTAAAACGGAAGCGATTTTGAGTAAATAACATGAAGTATTTTAGTAGTACATACAATGCAAAATACAGATAGTGTATTTCAAACTGTGCATCTCAAAATCAAAACAACATATGAAGATAGTATTTTTTATTGAAAACACTCTTGTCAAATATTCCAAAGGCATGCACTCTGTGTATATGCAGGGCTACATTCTTGCTAATCAGCATTCACAATAAAAAGACTCAGATTTTGTAGGAGTAATAATTTTCCTATCAAATCATCATTAATTATGGTGTATGCTTTCAGAGCAGTTTTCCTTTCATAAATATTATTTTCTTCATCCAGAAACAACTGGTTTTACTTCCATTCAGTTAATCAAACATTAGAAATGCTAAGCTACAGACAGAGAAATTATACAAGTTTCAGTGGTATGTTATATTACTAATTGATACAGATTTATCAAATTCAGCACTGTTATAAACAAAGATAAACATTATACTAAGATTAAACTCATTTTATCCCTCCCTCTTATTGATCCTGACACTGATTCTGCATGAAGAGCTGTTAACACTGCTTCTCGCTTCAGGCATGATCTTAGTGATTTAGTAGGATTATGTATTAATGGATCCTTTTATTGTATCTAAGCAACAAAAGTTAAGCATATAAATCTGTTACTTTAAAATAATGCAGTTACTGTTTGTATATTACATTTTCAACAAAAAGTTATTTTGTCACATTGCTTAGGAGTAAGTTTTTTGTGTACATAGTTTGTATCCCCAGGTTAGGAAAAAAAACTAACTCAACTTTTGAATAAAAAGTGATTAAACTATCTGTCTTGGTTATCTTCTGTTCTTTATTGCAAAACATCAGACAGGAGCCCCTAGGTCATAGTTTATGCTCTTGTCCTCAAAAATGCAAGCAGAATGTTAGAAGAAAAGCAAGAAAGACAAATTAATCAAGAATGCAGACACCTTCCCAGTGCACCTGAAAAATGAACTAGGGGTCAATTAAATTCCTTTAAATTATGATGCTTCTCAGTGATGGAATTTGACAGGTATTCTGTAATTCTAAGAGGACTGCTCTAAAAGTCTACTTCTTTGCAATATTTTAACTCCACACACCTGTCAGTGTAATTTTTAATCTGGAGCAATAAAAACACCTAATCTGTTCATTTTTCCACTCTTGCAACCATATGAATTTAGTTAGCAGGATTCCCTTGCATTTTGAAGGCGCTTAGTTTGTTTTTCAGGCTCAGTTTCTCATCTTCTCCTGTCACTGTCAGGTGTCACTGGTTTCACTTTCTCCTGCTGCTGGTGACTGTCAGGCGGCAGGGAGCAGACGTCACTGTCAGGACTCAGTGATGTCCTCTGCTGCCAGCTGGCTATGTCACCTGCAAGAATTTGGAAGTGCTCCATGACACTGTCAAGTGACAGAATTTCCTAACTCTTCAAACAGAAGGTGTCGACAATGACAGCATCAGCTACTAGAAGTCAAGTCTGATGCTGTCTGCCAATTTCAAGTCAACTGGTTCTTACAGCTGTTTTTCCCTTTTTTTCATAGCTTTTTCTCTTGTGTAATTTTCACACTTTCTCCTGGAGGAGCAGTGTCTGCCTGTTCATGACTACCTAAGTGATCATGTCTGTGATGGCCAAACACTCTTTGATGCTGGCCACTGTGAGGGTGATGTCTCTCAGTTTCAGAGGAAGTTTGGCCGTTCTCATTTTTGGGATGATGACTGCCATGGTGGTGGTGGTGGTGGCGGTGGTGGTGCCCATGTGTGTGCAGATTGTGGTGATGTAAGTGCTGACCAGTTGGTTTAGGTTCTCTCTCTTCTAGCTTATCTGCTTTTCTGGTGATGTTTTCACATATATCATCAATATCAGGTTCCTGAAAAACAGAGGCTTGCATTAAATACAAGGCAGAGTATTTAACTAGTTGTAAAATATTATCTTAACATTTTTGCAGAACCTGAAATCCAGTTTTAAATTATTTGTGCCACCTTGTTGAAGAACGTACGAATGTATAAAAAATAACCTTTTATTGCAACACCACTGATAACAGGGCTTTTAATACAAGCTTTTAGCTACTATAATTCCAGCAATCGCTAACAACAAGTATTTTTTTCTAGATCCCACATCTGACCTGCATATGGCCTATATTTAGATGGAAAACTGCATTATGGGATCAAAAATTATTATTCTTAGTGAACTTTCATGACTATGTATGTACATTTCTTGATAATCCTTAGAGTAGTTCTGATCTTTAATTATACATAAAACAAAGCTACCCTTCTTTTATAGCGGTAACAAAAATTTATCATCTTGTATTATCACTTTTTAAAATTACTGTGTTTAAATGCAAACTAAAATGAATATTACCTCAAACCAGCTTGGATTTGATTCCCAGGTTTAAAAAAAATACCATCCGTTTATGTCCTTACCCATCCCCGAAGACTAGAGTAGCTAATTGCTCACTAGCTGTATATAAGTCCACAAACAGAATTAGCCTCCAAGATTACATTTAGGTTTCTGACAATTATTTCTATCACAGGTAAGTATTCTGATAATCAGTCTATTATAAATTAGATCTAATTAATTTGGAAAAATATTTAAAACCTCTCTGTCAAGACACATGAAATGTGTAAATTCTAAATCATGTCTTTGTGGATTAATCACACTGAAATAATTTTTTTTTTAAGTACCAGTCAAATCCAGTTTCCTGTCCTAGTATACACAGATGAGACAAGAAAATACCGTGTAAGAGCAGTTTCCACACTTGTTTTCACAGTATGCAATCTTAATAGCTTCTTCTACATATTGGAAATGCAGGAAGGAATAGGGCAGTCCCAGATGATACACCAGACGGCCACATCTAAGGAGAGAGAGAACTTTGTGGTTACATGTACCTGAAATTAAATCTCTCTTCTCATCACATCTCACTTTATTCGCATCAATCCACCCACACTGTATAGTCCCATGGAGAGTGTTCCTGTTCAAGGAGTTTACAGGCAAATCCACTGTCGTCCTTACCAATGGTTGCCTGCTCAACTACATCAGCCAGTAGTGTGAAGAGAGATTTCTAGCTGTAATGGCAGAAGCTTCTGTGTTAGGAGCCCTTAGACTAGCAAAGGTACACTCATTACAGGCTATCTGGCTAATGAGTAGGGCTGTTTGCACAGCAGTTGTTGCATCCTTACAACATGTTTTTATGCAACGTCACATGTATTTTGATTGGAAAAGGTATTGCGGTGCATCTCCATTACAGATTTACTGTACATAAGGGGATTTTTATGCTGCCTATTTGCCCCAAGTCTCTACTTGAGTGTTCTGATATGCACTTGACTACGCTACTAGTCAGTTTGAAGGAGTTGAGTAAATCCAGAACCTGTATGCAAGGGCACCTTGTTAAATACCCACCTATGTGTGGGCCTCTAGCCTTAGCTCCTTACATGTCTGCAGTGCATGTCCAGCAACAGGTAAACCCACTTGGAATGCTCATTACAGTAACATAACTAGGATAGATTTCAGTTGCAGTTATTACTGGCTTTGCCAAAATATACAAGTGCCAGAATCCTGTATCAAAAAGTTATTTTCTGCTGAAGTTTTTAAGTTTCAACTGAAGACTAATTTTTCTATATGTCTACATTTTCAACAACTCTGGTCAAAATGTTTCCACTAGAACTTGGATAGCTTTCCTCATTGATTCTACTTTGACATGCATGGGTGTAATGAAGTTGTCCGAAAATAAAAACAGCGTAAAACAAGAAAAATGTTATCAGATTCTACACTCAGTTACATTAATCTAAACATACAGTAATTATAAAGAAAATATTATTTATTCCAAAATTACTTATGCAAAAGCAGACTTTTTTTTTCCAGTAAACTTCAGCTTAGAAGTTGATAATGATGTCTTTGTTATTTGCACATAAATGAAATAATATATATTTACAAAGCATTACTCTAAATATATTCAAATATTTTCCTGTGTTTCTCTGTAAACACACACCTGTCATAGATGAGAAAGTCATGCTTGTTTCCATTTAAGGTAGTCCAGACGTCATCTTGTTCTTCTTGCTGGTAGACAGTAATATAGTCTGAAACACTTCCTTTCAGTAGGTGAAATTCCCTCTGGGATTGAGCTCCCTGATGGTTGATAACCACATATGAGATGTTGACCAGTCCTTCATTCTCTAACTTTACTCGCAGGTCCTCCAATCTAGTGGGAATGTAGAGAAGCAAGATCATAAATCATTAGAGAATCATAAGATTTGCCACAAAAGTGAATATGCTCCATCTTGCTTTTATTACAGTGGAAGTTATTTTATCCCAGTTTTAATGGCAACAGTCTAACAATATTAAAACATTCTTGCCATTTTCCATGACTATCAACTGTACTGTCACCAAACCAGACTTTACAACAGCTAATATGCCATGAGTTCTGTCCTTGTAAGCAGAATGCAGTAAATCAGACATCTGTTTTCAGACTGAATTCAGTGTTACTTTTATGTCAGCTCTTTCATAGTCTCCATGGTCTAACATAGTTTATTTGATGCCTTCATTCGAATGCTGAGGTTTTGGTCATATAGTTGGTTAAAGAACGCACACCATAAATACAGCAAAAAAATTAATTATCAAGAAAGCAAACCTGCAGTAAAAGGTCAACAGCTCTCCCACTCATCTTGACATGGCTATTTTCTATAACGGCCAGAAAAGGGCTATTATAGCAGCAGGGTCAAAATGAGTGCTATAGAAATGCTGCACAACCTGTCTGGCAGCTGTTAGTCTTTTCTCTGGCTTTTCATCACAAAAGTCTATCTCTGCTAATAGTTCAGAAAGCTGATTTCTTCCCTGATGTGGGGTTTCTTCCTTTTTGTTTGTATCCTTCCTATTGAACTGTTCTAGAAAACTTTTATTTTTCAATTCCAGGAAATAATCTAGAATGTGGAAAATTCTTTTAAATTTTTCTGAAATGTGAGAATCAAACCTAAATACCTTGAAAGCCAACTGCAAAGCCCACTTTTGACTTTGATGGAGCTAGAGATTTACCAGTACTTTTTCAAATCCAATTCTTCGTAAACTTGCAAAGCCTATTGTACTATGAAGTTATGCAGCCAAGAGGGGCAAACTAAGATGTTCTTATTGTGAGTAAAATCCAAGTCTGAAATCAGTATTATTAATTTTTACACCAAACTGATTTCACAATCACTGAATGAATCTAAGATAAAGGCTTTATACAATTCCTGTTTGGGTCATCTCAAAATTATTTTCTTGCTACTGTTACTGTCATGCTAGCTAATTATTTGCAAAGAGTGGGTTCTAGAAATCACAGCCCCGATGTCCCAGTCTTATATGAAAACACAACACAGCTGACTTCTTTGAATGTTTCATCTCATTTTTGAAAGGCCAGTCTTTACCTTATCTGCTGGATTTTTATATATCATAGAATCATATGGGCAGCACATTCCAATGCCTGATTACCCTCTCTGTAAAATATATCTTCCTAATATCCAACCTAAACTTCCCACCTGGCTACAACCTCCTTTCAGGGAGTTGTAGGGAGTGATGAGGTCTCCCCTGAGCCTCCTCTTCTCCAGGCTGAACAACCCCAGCTCCCTAAGTCTCTCCTCATAGGACTTGTGCTCGAGTCCCTTCACCAGCCTCGTTGCCCTCCTCTGGACCTGCTCCAGCACCTCAATGTCCTTCCTGAAGTGAGGGGCCCAGAACTGGACACAGTACTCCACGTGTGGCCTCACCAGCGCTGAGGACAGGGGAAGAATCACTTTCCTGGTCCTGCTGGCCACACTTTTCCTGATGCAGGCCAGGATGCCATTG